AAAATGATTAAATGTTGGGAGTTTTTATTGGAAAATTGAAAGTATTAAAGAAAAATAATAATTTTTTTACGAATACAGGCAAAGATAGCAGGAATAAAGTCACGAGAATGAGATAGATTTAATTAAAACAAAACAACAGGATCATGTATGTAGGTCATTTGAAAGTGGATGAAGAATACAAACATGCGGATAATAATAAAAAGGATTGCCTACTACATTTAACTTTGGTATCAGCAGCTTAAGTTTAGTATCAACATGCGAGTAGTGCAGAAATTTCTGACGTTTGTGTGTTCATTTGTGTGTGTTTGCTTGTTTGTATGTGTGTGTGTTTACTTGTTTGTATGTGTAAGTAAGTGTGTGTGAGTGGGTTTGTGTGTGTTGTGTGTATTAGTCTTTGTGTATATTGGTGTCTGTGTGTCTGTATGTGTGTTGTGTGTATGGGTGTGTAGACGTATGTATGGTTATCCTATAATTCGTGCCTATGTGCATGCTTACGTTTTTTTACTTAGGGAGGAGGAAATAGTAATTGATGCTATTTGTTGCTACGTATTCAAGAGTAAGGGAATGTTTCAAGGTTTTTTTATTTTCCAAAAACACTGTTGATTTGAAGTGAACATCTGCTCATTGTTTTGTTTAGTAGTAAACAAATAATTTAAAACTAAAGATTATTAATTTATTTTTGTTGTTTTTAAATTTAAATCATTTCAAAATGACGTCATTTAAACCAAATCAATATTTACGTGCTGTTCTGCCGACTTACAAAATCATTGGTACCATAGACGCAACTAACGCCATCATCCATTATAAATAGGTTGTATAAAAACCGAATCATCGGGTCTCTTGGTTAATTATTCCTTATTATCATAGTTCAGACTTCGCTCTGTATCACAGCATAATTTTATGTGATTTGAAAAACTGACTGCGTTATGTTTCATTCAGTATGGATTGAGTAATTATTTATTTATTGTGATATTGATAAAAATGTCATTTTTGTAGCGCCCTATGCATAGCGTTAGAGGCACCCGGATGAACAAATGTCAGCACGGCCAACAAAGGCCTGTTAGAACAGATGCTTCTTCAATCGCTTCTTAAACATTTCTATTGACGATTGTTGACGGATGATGAGTGGCAAACTGTTCCATGTTGATGGTGAGCAATATGAAAAGCCTTTATTGGTGAGAGCTGATTTATTGACTGGTTGATGCAGTTGCAATGATGACTGCAGACGAATGTGATGGTGATGATTAACAGATGAGCCAAGGCGAATGAGTTTGTGAAGAAATGATGTGTTGAGTGTTTTATATGTGATGACAGCAATTCGTTGATACGTTGATGAATCGGTTAGAGATGATGAACTGGAAGACAAACGAGGTCATTCTAAAACAAGTTTGGCTAGTCTGTTTTGAATGATCTGAATAGAGGAAATTAGATTTGCCGGAGTTCCATATAACAGGGAGTTGCATTAGTCAAGGCGAAATAACACACGACAGCATGCTAGCATGGAGGCCATTTCAACGGTAAGAAAAGGTCGAATGTAGCGAATAGACCAAATAATGTAATTGCATATATTGAGGAGAGCAGAAGTGTAAGCTTGGAAATTTAGAGACGGGTCAAGAGTAACACCTAGCAGTGTTACTCCAATTTATCATAGATTTCAATTCAATTCGATATAACATATATAACACATATATAACACACATTATCATAGGTTTCAATGTAATTCGATATAACACATATTCTGTTTGTTTCTAATGTTTTTTTTCTCTACAATTCACTAATTTTGTATTCTTTACAAGATTCAAATTCTAACAAACGCAGAGATCGCTAAAACGTGCACTGCATACAAATAAATAGACGGGAAAAGAGAAAAAGATTTATAAAAAATAATACCAGCAACAATTGCAGAAAGACTACCAAAGGTGTAGATCATTATAGATACCATCACACAACAAAATAGGCAATATATTTAGTCTCTGCTCTCTGCGGCCAAAACCTGTAGCTGGGCTGCTGATGGGTTCCCACCAAATTTTAAAGAAACTATCTTCTTTATATTTTATATAAACCGTGAAAATTTCATTAGATTCTGTTCTGCGGTATAGTAGTCCATAGCCCTCTATAATTAACATACATACACAGATATACACACACACACACACACACACACACACACACACACACACACACACATATATATATATATATATATATATATATATATCGCAATTTTCTAAGAGGAAAAAATTCACGAAAGCCGTGATAAATTGTCTTAAGTGGAATATTTACTGATATTCGTTCTTTCGTTCATCCTTTTTGTTCATCCATTAATACATCATTCATTCTTTCATTTGTTTTTTAATTTCTACTATTTAATTCTTTTGTTCAGTCAGTGTTTTATTCATTTTTTAACTCTTTCAGTTAATCATCATCCACTTGTTCGTTTTTAAATTTTTATATTCGTTTTTTGCTCATCGTCAATCATTCATTTTTTGTGTGGATATATATATATATGTAAGTGTGTGTGTTTGTGTGTGTGAGTGTGCGTGTGAGTGTGCGTGTGAGTACGCGCTTACATATTACAAAAACAATATTTATGATGATAATAATATAACTATCATCGATAAAAAATGAACTTAACGCAAACACCCGGCGTCTGATGATAACGTACACACAAAAAATTTTTAACGCTCCTAACAACAATTCATGAAAATGGCAATAATAATAATAATAATAATAAAATAATAATATAATAATAATAATTGGCGATCAATGAATGAACAGCAGTTAGTTAAAATCTGGTACTCGAGATTAATGATGAAAATGATGATAATGATGATGATAAAGAAGAAGAATAGGAAGATGATGGAGCAATGATGAGGAATATAATGATGAAACCTTTGATGATAAAGATGCGTCATACGTTATGATCGTTTGTTAACAATCGGATGGCGAAGATGACAATGATGACGAGGATGAAGAAGATGATCACGAAGATGAAGAAGATGATGATGAAGATGAATAAGATGATGATAAAGAGCTTTGATGATGCTGCATTGTATTGGTATTGATAATCAATATAATTTTTGTTTTGTTTTAGGATGTATATTAAAAAAAATTTTTGTATGTGTTTACGCACATGTACGCACACAATCATACACAACAAATACACATTAAATCATACATACATATGCTCACACAGACACACATTTCCATACACACACGGGAGCAAACTTACCCCTACCTATTTATATATAGGTTAAAATATGAAATAATCCAAAAATTACAAAAACATACATACACATAAATAAACACAAACAAACATACACACACAAACATACGAACATAAAAATACGTAAATTAAAAATTTGTTCATGCGAAATTAAGTAGATATATAAATACCTTGCAACACACGTACATATTCGATAACGCCATTTTTTGTTATATGCAAAGAGATCATTAATATATGATAGCGTGATGTTTACACTGATGTTGATGATAATGACTAAAATAATAACAATATTATTGAAAATGATAACAGCACAGAGGTGGGCCAACTTTTTGCTGTGAGGGCCGCATTGAGAACTATTTTATCTTTGAAGGGCCGCATATGTACTTAAATAGCAATTTTTTTTGACCCGGAGGAGAATTTTTTTAAGATTTGTGGTTCCTTTTTTTGATTATAATGTCTGGCTGACGACTTTTTTTGGCAAACAAATCTTCGCGGGCCGCATAAAATAGTTTCGCGGGCCGCATAAAATAGCTTCGCGGGCCGCATAAAATAGCTTCGCGGGCCGTAGTTTGCCCACCCTTGTGATAGCATGATAGCATCACTATAACGGTGATGGAGTTATAGAGGTCGATCGTTTAGTTAATGAAAATATTATCTGTTAAGACGATGATACGACGACCATGATGAAATCATTGGTGAAGAGGAAAAAGTTGATGAGGAAGATGAGGGAGGAAATAATGATGAAGATGGAGATGATAAGATGATGAAGATGATAAAGCAGCGTTAGTGTTAGAAACGGTTGAGCTCTCTACGTTCATGCACATATGTGTTTTCAAAAATTTAAACAATAATATTTAGTTTTTGTATGTAAGCTCGCGTGTATATAAACAAATACAATCACTTTATGCTTTCTACACACATTTTTATACATACACTCACACACATATACAAACAAACATACACATTGACACATATACTAGCATGTATATATATATTTATATCACTCATTATATATTTATTCCATCAATGTATAACAATGTATATAAGTGCGTGTGTTATATATTGCAAAACAAGCCTTTGTTATATATATATATATATATATATATATTATATATATATATATATATATATATTGTGAATTGTTTTGGGGGTTTGTTTTTCATACTTAACGGTTTGTTATGGTCTTTTAGGATATTTCAAATTTTAAGACTGCATTCGTTGGACATTATATCATTATAGTTCATTCGTTGAACTCGAATGATTTGATGGTAGATACGGATATAGAAAGATCGATCAAAATATTTTTCCTTCTTTTCATTTTTATTTTTTAATTATTTCGAAATAACTTTTTAAAAAAACAAGTTTTGATAATAATTATTTTACCTTCTAATATATTAACAATCACAAAAAATAATCAAATCAATTTGTTGAGTAAAAATAGTTAACTTTGTTACACGTAGTGCAACATCTTTCGCCTCTTAAACAACTTACAATGTTTACTTACAATGTAATCATAATAGTACAGTGTCAGTGCTGTAGTATTGATACTTTGTTTGCAATCACCTTTAATCCCATACCATTTATTCATTTGCTGAAATAAGTTGCCGATTCAAAGAGTTCAGTTAATCAACCGACAAGTACTTCAACCACCCAACTATGCAACTTGTCAATTATTCAACTAATCAATCATTCAACCGGTCAGCCATCTAACTAATCAATCAGTCATATAATCATATTCAAGCATCTAATCACTCACTCGCTTCAATCTTTAACGATGTCCAAGAGATCTTCGAGTTGTGGCAAGAAAGATTTTCTTGGCTTTGTTCGTGCCTTCGACAAACTAACCAAAAACAGCAGCAGCAGCAGCAACAACAACAGCAACAACAACAGCCACAACGCTACTACTACTACAACAAGCAACAACAGTAAAACAGCAAGAAGCGTTGAAAGTATCAATGGAGTGGACGACGATTTTAATTTCATTCCCATGCAACTGAAACACACAGCAACCATCAACAACAACAACAACAACATGGTCAACAACAACAACAAAACTGATGCTGTTGCAAAGAGTAACACGTTGAAAAGTAACGTCAAAAATGTCGCCACACGCCTGAGGAGAACGAAAAGTTCACTAGAAGAAGGCAGTCAGAAGAATATGGTGAAGATGAGTGAGAACAACAGGCAGCAGAAAACATTCTCATCGCTCAGAGGGAAGAAGAACGCAAAACTGCAACAACAACGACAACAATTTTCTTTAGAGCTGAACACGAACTACAACGGTCTCTGCAACAACAACAACAACAAAACAATACCCACGACCAACAATAACAAAACAAGCACCACCAACAACGCAAACAACAACGCAAACAACAACTACAACAAGAACACAAAAAACAACGATACCAAAAACAGCAGCAACAGCAACAACGATGACGACATGGATGACGTCATCAAGCAGGTCACGGCTTCGACCAGTTTTGCGAATTGTGCTCAGGTCATCAGGCAGCTGACCAGTCAACAAGTGGACAACATCTCTTCACTCATATCTGTTCAGTATCTTCTCGATAATGTTGGTCCATCATTTAAATGATATTAAACAATTTGATAGCTGTATGAAAAATTGAAAAAATGAATGAATGAATGAATGAATTAAGGACTGAATGAATGAGTGGGTGAATAAATGACCAAGCAAACAAATGATTGAACGATGAATACACAATTAAATGAATGAATATACAAACGAATGAATCCGCAAGAGGGAAAAGACAATAACAAATGAATGATGATGAACTTCATCGCGTCGTCTGTCATAAATAGAAAACAAATTAGGGTTTCAATGTTTACAGCTAAGATCTCCTCGGCATGTGTAACACAAAAAATTGAAATAGAACCTGTAAAATGTAATCGTTACCGTAATAATATTTTTACTGGAACCCTCTATTCGTCATCCTCATTTGTTCATAATTTGATAACTCATTCATACACTCATTCTTTCACTCATTCATTCGTTCATTCATTTATTCATTCGTTCGTTCGTTCGTTCGTTCGTTCGGGCAATCACTAACCATTATGAACGTTGTCGTCATCATCATCATTTTTTTAATCTCCATCACCTCCATCATCATAACCACATGATCGTCTTTTAAATAGCAACATCATTAATTTCAAGCGCTCCTCAGTTCCATGTTCCACGTACCCAACGAATTTCTCACGAAAAAAAATTGCTAAAAATTTAATTATAAAAATTGGCATAAAGATGAGAATGAACTTTTTTTTTCATATATAAATCAGTCAGAAATGTTCAATGCAGAGATGAAAGATTAAATTATTTTTTGTTTGGGGCAAATATTTGTTTGGTTGTGAAGAAAAGTGATGAATGATTCATCCCCAAAATATTTGCCAATGATCTAGAGCGTAGAAATAAGTAAGTTAGTCGATGAATGAATGGATGGATGAATGATTGAATGAATGAATGAACGAACGAACGAACAAATGAATGAATGAAGAAAGGAAAGACTAAAAAACTAATAAACGAACAAATAATTGTTGAACGCATGAAAATAAAACCAATAACTAATAACTAGATGCAAAGGATGGAAGAATGAATGAATGTTAAATAAATGACAAACAAACGAAACAGCCAAACAAATGAATTATTAAAAAACATACATCATAACAGAAAAAAAGTTCAGAACTTGATTTAATGGGAAATATGAGCTGATCAAAAAATTAATTCGCAGACCAACAATTTGGTTGAGTATTTTTTAAGCTTTTTTATCGACCAACCAGAAACAAATTTTCTATAAATTTATATAAATGTACTTACTGAAAACCACAGACACATCAAGGAAACTATTAATTAAAATATGAAACGCTATAAAAATTACCATTTATTTATATACAGATACCAGAGTCTTTGGTTCTTATTGAAACGTTATATTCAAAGAACAATCGTAGTTACAGCAGCAGCAGCAGCAACAACAACGACAACATCTCATCATCTCAAAACTCACCGAACACCAACAACAACAAAATTTTTAACAAGAACAACATCATAGGCAGCAGCAGCAACACTACTGCAGCCAACACTAACAAGAGAACAACAAACAAAGGCATAACCAACTACCTACCCCCAGACATTCTTCTCAATCACATCATTGCTTGGATGTGTGCGACTGACGATGACAACAGCAACAACAACAGCAACAACAACAGCAACAACAACAGCAACAACAACAGCACCAACAACAGCAAAAACAGCTCCAGCATAAACCGAAATAATCACGGCCACAGCAACGAAAACTTCATCAACGACAACGATAGCGAATTCGTTTCTCAAAAATTCGCCTCCAAATCGATGGGCTTAAAAATGGAGAAGGTTCAAGAGGAGCTGGAACGTCATGAGAGCCACTTCCACGGCTACAAGTTTATCGTGCTCGACATCCTCAAGCACATCTTCGCCGCCTCACCAGCCCTCAGAAACAAAACAACTCGAAAGTTGTTATCCCTGGAGAAATGTTACGACATTGCTAGCGGGTATAAAACCAAATGTAACGACTGCCCAAAAATTGAAAACTTTATTAGTGAAAGTTTGAAGTTGAGGATTGAAAAGTTGAAGTTGGAATTTGTCAGTCTTATGAAAGATGTCAATGAAATCGATCGCAATTCGTGCTACTGCCATGATGATCGCATCAATAACGCCAATAATTACACTACTAACGTTAACTACAACAGTTATATAAAGAACCAAAGCAATCGCGCCAACACAGAAAATAACGTAAACAACATCAACCTGACGAAGAGCAACCTAACCAACATCAGTGATGGTTTTAAAAATCCTTCATTGAGATCAAGCGGAAAAAACTTGAAATATTACATGACACTAACAAACAATAACATCAGCTTCAATAATAATAACAACAACAACAACACCAACGACACCAACAACAACCAAGGTAACATTTCAACCGACAAAACATTAACGGTATCGGATATCGAGTATCGAATCAAAAAGCACCGACAGTTACTGGAGATGTTCCAGCCGATCGAAGGATGCGTTGTCCAGCATGTTTCCAGCTTACGTCAGAGGCTGGAAGATGACAGAGAGATATTATTAAACAGTGTTGAAGTCTCAAGAGATATCGAAAGTTGCGTTGCAAATTCGTTGCCCTCGCCTTCGCTATCACCCACCTCCTTTCCAACTCCATCGTCCCCCTTATCTCCATCGCATCCTCTCTCTTTTTATTCTCTCTCCTCTCCGATGACATCATCATCGTTATTGACCTCGCTGCAACCAGCTAGCCAATCATCCCAGTTGCCCGCTGACACTCCTATCTTGAAGCACCTGAAAAACATGGTCAAAGGTTATTCAAAAGTCATGACCCTCATGAAAGACGATCAGATGGGACCCAGGGTTTTTTTTCGGCCAAATTTTTCAGACGTTGAAAAAACGGAGGAAGAAGTTGTTGTAGGTTTGTTGCGTTTGTTGATTTTCGTTTAGGTTTGTCTTTTCGAGTTATATTACGTTTCGTTTCGAATTATTTGAAATCATTTCAATTATTAATATATCCATTAAATTATTTCAAATTTGAGTTAATATTATTTTTAGTTGTCGTATCGCTCTCTTTTTCTTTCTTTCACACTCTCTTTCCTGTTTACTCTCTCTCTCTCTCTCTCTCTCTCTCTCTCTCTCTCTCCTACTCATTTCGTTTCGCATTTTTTCATTCAAAAACACGTTTGAGTGATGAATTGATAAATTGAGAGAACACATACGATTCCAACCACACGACTCTTACTTACTTTCTTCATCATTACTTTTTTTTAAAAACGAACAAGTCACACCATGCAAGAACGTAAGCAGTCATAAAAGTAGAAAAAAATACATTCGAATTAGTTAGGCTGCAGTAACTGGGTCGTAAACTTGTTTTTATAACTCTCTTTTTTATTGTTTCGCAGTCAAACTCCAATTTGCAACACATGTATTTTTTTTATAATGGATGTTCTACGTAGAATGTGACACACAACACGTCACGTATATCGCTAAATACGCTGCGTTTGTCGAATTAACACGTTAATGAACTAAAACACACACATACATGTATGCACTTGACTTAGCACGGACTTATTTTTTTTATCATTTACATACCTATCCAATTACACAAGCACAATTGTACGTACGTACATACGCATTGAACATAACACCACACACATACTTTTATGTACATCATACACATACACACACACACACACACACACACACACAAACACACACACACATACACACATTTATGTATATATAAACGCACACACACACATACATACACACATACAAAACAAAACACCACATACATACATACATACATATGTTGTTTACATTAAGTGATGGCATATGCATAGATGCTTTCCTTCCAAATAATAAGAAGTGTATACATAAGTCCTCTCTCTCTCTCTCTCTCTTTTTCTCTCTCTCTCTCTCCCTCCTTCTCCAGCAGTCTGCCTACCTCGCGCCACACAACAAACATCATCATAACAACAACACAGCTCCTCATATAATCACCCTCATCACATCATCTTCATTTCAGGATCTATCAATAACAAATACTTGCACATCAACGTATTTATACATTCCATATTTCCCATATCTTACTTATTTAGGTCAATGATTTCAGTGTGATGCATGCCGTTGCTAAGAAGTAGTATAGGCCCTAACTTTATAACAGTTATCAGCAACTTAACAGTACTTGTGTTAACTTAGTAACAGTGCTTATGTTAACTTAGTAACAGTGCTTAATTTAGAACAGTAGGATTGTTGCGATGTTGTATATACATATCATATTGTATATATCCTTCCAATCTTATGCATATCTATATCTAATATTATTTTTTATGCAAGATATCTTTCTCAACCGTTAAATTTCTAGTTTTTTTTATGCAATATTTTATTAAATAAACTTGATTAGTTTATCAAATTTATGTAGCGATAAATAAATAAAAAAAAATTAACGAAGTACCGAACTCAGACAGCTTATGAGAATTCTTAAATTTATTTTTTTTTCATCTTTGATAAACCTGTCACTGCAAGTCAATTTCATAACAGATAAAAAATATCCCAATCCGGACTACTCCGACTCCGACACTCCAGTTGCGATTCTGAATAGAATTCTCAACCAATGCTTTTTTCAAATGTTTCACTGGAAGAAAGAAATAACAATTTCAGGTGTTGATAAACAGGAGAATTCGGTTCTATCTTGCAAATCTGAAACATGAATCATCCTCATTTCTGGTTAAATAAATTAGATTTCCATTTGTCGAAATGAAAATTGTACTGCTTGAAAACTTTGTCACAAATTGTAACGTTTTAAAACATCTGTCGATCAGTTGTCAAATAATGAAATACATAAAATCTATAAAAAAAAGCTTTCAGATAGTTTGGTTTCAACTGCAAAATGAAACATAATAAACTCTTTGGGATATAAAATTTACAAACAAAATGTAGTTTTTTTCCAAATAGCAGCTCCTCTCACAAAGTGAACTGAATGCTCAACATACAAAAGTCAAAAAGAAACAAAGACAAATATTGTTGTGAGTAAATCCAAAGTATCGTGGTCATCGAAGGTAAAATAATACACCAGAAAAAAAACTGAAAAACACTACAAGAAGTATAATATCAACACGGAAGAGACATTGAATGTTGTTAACAACACAATAAATCTCGCTATATCCTAGCGTTTTCTTCATTTTCTTCCTTATAAACAATGTTCAGCACTTTGAAATAATCCTATACTCCATGCAACGATTGACATGTAAATATTTTTTTCAATCTCCGTAACTCATGCTCCATTTATTTTACATTAATACGCAGTTCTTGAAAGTACATTTTACTAGAATTCATTTGACTTAAAAATTTAACTAAGCTATATTATAATGTACATTTATGCCTGTGGGTGTGACGAGTGTGTGTATATGTGTGTGTTTAGTGTGTGTGTGTGTGAAGTGTGTGGGTGTGTATAATGATGATAATGTACAATATAGTAATCCCTCAAAATCGTTACGTATAACCTCCCACTAGCAGATCTATTACTGGTATTACAGAGAAAAATTCTCGCTTAATGAATATAATTTTTATCATCTTAAAAACGATCTAAGCTCATGAATCTTCCACTTTGTTTATGCAATTGAGGGTTTTGGCAGTTATGTTGGATATATTCGAGGAGGAAAATCCGTGTGTGTGTGTGTATGTTTGTGTGTATTTATGTGTTTCTGTAACACACACAACATACACATAGCTGCACACACACACGTACGCACTTACACATATTTAATAAAAGATCTATAAAATTATTTTATGAAATAGTTAAGTAGTGTAACGTTTTTTGCATGCTATTTGTGAATTAGTTTTTTTTTATAGTTTTTCAAATCAATCACTTTTTAAATCGTTTGTTATCATTATAATATTAGGAAATATATTATTGAAAATTTTAAAAAATTATCTCTTGTTATAAATGAAAATAATTGGAATTTATATTTACGGTGTTTATTACGCATATCCCTCGTCAGTTATTCGAAAAATTTTGCTTTTAAAACTATTACATAACACTTCTTTTTCATTTTCAGGGAAGAAGAAAAAGTCACGCCTTTCGTCGAATTCTTTCAACGTCTTCAGGAATTTTGGATTCGGTTCCAAGAATAACGATAACATCAACAACAACAACAGTAGCGACCACAACAACAGTAGCAACAACAACAATAGTAGCAACAACAACAGCAACAACAAATTTTTTACATTACCTCGCCGCAGTAAAAGTTCAGAAGGCAACCACAACAGCCACAGCAGCGACAAACGCCACAAGATCAAGATGAACCACAGTATCGAGATTATAAACGGACAAACCAACGACAATAATAACAACAACAACATTAATAACAATAATAACAATGACGTCACGAAACCGTTATCGGTTTTAAAATATTCGAATGAATGCCTGTTCAACTGTTACGACAAACTTTTCAGGGATGTGCGAATAAATGTTTTGAAAGCTTTTAACGAGATCGACGTACTGCAGAAAAACTCACAGCTGAAGAATAAAATTATTTTATCAGTTGTGTTAGTAAGTAATTTCTTTCTTTCATTCTTTCTTTTTTTCTTTCTTTCTTTCTTTCTGCTGTAATAAAAGTTTTAGGGTTATTGATTAAATATAGCTTTATTTTTAAGGAATAAACTATTTAATATTTGTTTTAGCATAATTTTATTGAACCATTAACTAAAATTTTAAAAATGATTTAATAAAAAAAAGTTAGCAAATGAAAATTACTTAAATACCCTGACACACACACAAACATCAGTTATCAGGTAAGGCAGCTAGAAAGACACTTCGCCATATTCAGCTGAAGGCTCAAATGTTGTTGGGCCTCTTCAGTCACAATAACAATCCATCCACCGTAAACAACACAAATAGTAATAACCATAACAACAACAACGGCAATAACAACAACAACAACAACGGCAATAACAACAACAATAACGGCATTAACAACAACAATAACAACAACTTTAACAACGATAATACTTATGTAAACATAGAGAATAATAATTTAATAAACTATAGCCACGCCAGTAGTAACGTCCAAAAATTAAATCTAAATTTGAGAGAGTCTATAAAAAGTCTGAATGATAGCACCAAGTCATTCCTTCGGAGCAGCTGCACTGAAAAGTACATACCCAACGTCATTCAGGTATGATTTGTTGATTAATTTGTATCAAAATCCGAACTTTGTTTAAATGTTCTTGCGTTACCATGGTATTATTGGTATTTAGATATAAAAATTTATTTTATAATTTTTAGAAATTTTAATAAAAATGGAAAACTAAATTAAATATAAAAAAACATTTCGATAACGATCTGCTAACATTAATCTAATGTTACAAACAGGAACTTAGGAACAATCTACTACCCAACCTGCCGAAGTCCTGCAACTTGGATCAATGTCAGCCATTCCTAAACTACATGAAGGAAGCTTCTAGGATCAGTTGGTACCTCACCATCCATACTTCCACCCTGGTACCGTTTTGTGAAGGTCACATCTTCGATCCCGACATTCACGAAAGAATCGGTTCCTCCAATACCAACTCGGTATTTATTCGAACGTTCGTCTGGCCGGGACTTAAAGAGGAGAGTTCGCATTTTAAAGCCGTCAAGAAAGCGCTTGTTCTGACTTGATTAAAGAAATTTTTAAAATAACTACACATTACACATTATATTTACTTTTGTTCGTTCATTCGTTTGTTCGTCTATTCGATGTTTCTTTTATGCTAGTAGCTGGTAGATTTATAAATTGTGATTAATATATATTACGATAAACATTGAAATAAAAGGCTTTTAGTTATTTTTTTCAATATTTTTGCGCTAAACCGAAAAAATGGCGACGGTAAGTCGACAATAATGATTAACAATCGTTGATCAAATGAAATAACTCGGAAAATTGAAAGAGATAAATATCCTTAATTGTTGTAGATTGTAATAAAAATGCAACTGCTGACGTGATAAATAGTGAATTGCTTGCTAGGTATATGGCTCGGGAAGAAAATTAATTTCATACTATCACCCAGCTAACACATAAAAATAACAGCCGTATTTGAAAATTACAAATTTTCTATATTTAAACATTGAAAACTGCCATATATAGCAAAACCAATATTCGTCAGTTGTACAATATGTTGAAAAGTTTTTTAAGTGTTTGTCAGAAAACTCATAAAGAAACACATCATTCCCATCTGCAGATGTCAGATGAATCAAAATATGGGAATTTGTTATGTAACTGCACAAAAAGAAAGTATTTCATTGTAAAGAAAATATAAAAATTGTAAAAATGAAGATTAATTTACATTATTGTTAGGTTAAAAACCATCTAAAAATAAAGATTACTTGAAAATATTTGTGTTGAAAATGTATTTTGTTTTATGTAGTATAAAAATGAAGGTACATAAGCCATACGTTCTTATTGTGTGTATAAAGTAATCAATTAAGAAGAAATCAAATTGAAATATTGACACTGCTGTTGGAGTGACCTCATTAAGTTTCTAAATTAAATAAATAAAAACCAAACTAAAATGGAAATGCTTCATTAAAACAACTACATAAACCAAGACGGGATGTGTATAAAAAGATTATTATCAATCACACACTTCATTTTGAGTGGAGTAAATTGAATTTTAAACGACTGAAAATATGCAAAAAGGTTTATTCATCTTGAAAAGAATCATTTCCACTTGGAATACTTAAGAAAAGTATAGTGAGTGGAGTTGGCCTTTTGAGATAATCTCGTGATGGCAACGCTGTCATGTATGCCTATGCACTACACTATGCAGCTCCGTTTGCATAATCACCAATGCATCGAGTGCATACCTGCTCTCTTAAATTCTCTCATTTTCAAATCATTATTTTAAATATTTTCACAATTCTGTAGTAAAATGTTTTAAAGTGTAAGTTATCTTTTAGAGTTTTTCTAATTTTATTATAGTTAGAATTAATTAATAAATCACGCACAACACTTCACTGCATTTCTTAATTTATTTTACTTTTAAATATTAAAATTAAAATTTACTTTGCTTTTGCTGCAGAAATAAGGTAAAGCAGGCCTCGAGAAATTGCAGAAAATAAAAAGTGACGATATTGAAATGGCGTCTAAAAACGCTGAAAAGATTGAAGTTGGAACGATTGAGGTGAAGGTGATACCGTCAAATGGCGCCCCGGAGAAGGCCACACTCCTGACAGTCCAACCTCAGAAATCTATCTTGCCGGTGATGTTTGAAAGATCGGCCAAATCATTTTGGAACCCCAGATTTGATTCGGACGTGTTGGAGAAATATCACAAGGAAATATCACTTCAACAGACACTACGCATCTTTCGGTATGCACTTTTATACGTTGCACTGTCCTGTGCTGCTTGGGCTCTTTTTGTAGGCTTCCATCCCTTATTTGTGCACAACCACAGATGCTTCCTCATTGGTTTGTTAGCATTGTTTGTAAGCGTGGTTGTTATCTTCATTATTTCCTTCACCAAATATTATGGGAAAACTCAGACTGGACTGTCAGTTGTGCTGGCATTTGTCCTAAGTCTCTTCAGTTTGATTTTTTATTATCGTGCTTCTGAGGGTGACATGTCATTCGTTGCTATTTTTATTGGCTGTGTTGAGATTATTCTCTTGATTTACACATTCATCCCCATGCCAATGTTTTTCTGTCTGGCAATTGGAGTGGTGTACTCAATCATATTTGAGGTTTTGTCGGCCATCTTGACTCCAATCAATAATGTCTACTACATAATTGGACGTATTTTGTTGCATATTGCCATTCACTCTCTGGGAGTTCACTTGTTTGTGATATCCCAAGTGAGACAGAGGAGCACTTTCCTGAAGGTGGGTCAGTCAATCAAGTCAAGAAGAGATGTGCAAACAGAGAAACAGTTCAAACAAGACATGATTCACTCTCTTATGCCTCCGAAAGTTGCTCAAGAAGTCATGAGTTCTCGTGATCCGAAGGGAGGTTCAACAGGAGATGGCAATGAAAAGACTCCCCAAGTTCAAATGGGTCTAGGTGGGGGCCCAATGACATTTCGTTCTTTCCACATGTCCAAGATGGAAAATGTCAGCATATTATTTGCAGATATTGTCGGGTTCACTAAGATGAGTTCCAACAAATCAGCAGAGCATCTGGTCAGTCTGTTGAGTGATCTCTTTGGCAGGTTTGATGATATCTGCTACAAGTGTGGCTGTGAAAAAATTAGTACACTTGGGGATTGCTACTATTGTGTGTCTGGATGTCCCGAACCTAGACCCGACCATGCGAGGTGCTGTGTGGAGATGGGGCTGTCCATGTGCATTGCCATCAAACAGGTATGTTGACTTATGCAGTTTTTTGAAATTTATTTGAAGTTTTCATTGATAATATTTTGTGTATTATAGAGAAAAAAAAAGTTATTTTACATATGAAAAAGTGATTCAATGTAGAACTTGCAATGATTTGTTGATTGGTGTACAACATTCATTGGATTGGTGATAATTTATTTGTTTGCAAAATTTGGTCTAATCACTAATTGTCAAACATTTTTATAATTTTTAATTATAACTGATATATTTAAAATTTCCCATGCATTTATTTGTATTCAAGATTTTGATAACATTTTCACTTCATCTCATTCTTCGTCATCATCATCAACATCAACAATAGCCATGCATGTAAGTAGAGATAACCTAAGCAATTGATAATAACAAAGGGATGTTTTTCTATTTTTAGCTCAACAACAAAACAACGTCATCTGCAAAATAACCAGTAGCTGTGTTTTACAATACAATACAATAACAGTAAACAAAATTGTAACGATGATAATGTAATAATAATAATAATAATAATAATAATAATAATAATAATAATAATAATAATAATGATAATAATGATAATAATAATAATAATAATAATAATAATAATGATAATGATAATAATAATATCAGAAAGAGCCATGCAAAGGTAGTAGAAACATAATAGTAGCTTAAATATTTCCATTCTATGCAATCTTATTTTTTTTATTGTGGATTTTATGTTTCTTGAAAATAAAGACTATCTGGTGAAGAATGATGACGACGATGATGATGAATGTGATGACAGGAATGATGGTAATGATGAAAATAGTGTTATTAATAATTATAATGATGGCCGAAGCGCTGATGACGACGACGACGATGATGATGATGAAGAAGAAGTAGATGAATAGATAAACTAACAACATTTTTTTGTTTGTTTGCTGAAATAATATTAGACATTTTGTGCAATTTTTCTCTCTCCTTATAATAGTTTAATGTTAAGGGGTACTTTTATATTTACATTCATGTATATATGTAGGTATATGTGTTTCTACTGATGTATGTTTAGTGTATATTTATACATGTTTGTGTGTGAGTTGTGTACCTAAGATGATATGTTTGTGTGTAATGTACATGTGTGTATAATGTATGCATACAAGCATGTGTAAATAAGATGATATGTTTGTGTGTACGTGCATGTGCGTGTGTGTGTATAATACTTGTGTGTGTGTTTGTGTGCGTGTGTGTGTGTGTGCGTGCTAACCGTTATACAATACTTGGCTGGATACAAAACATGTCAGTTATTTCTTTCTATTCTCTCTACAACTTTGTGTTTTTTCGGCTTGTTGGTATTCATTCATTTTATTTTTTCCATTAATATACTGGGTATGTTTTCCATTAATTCATTCATTCATGCATGCTTGCATGCATGAATTCATATTCATGCATGCATGCATGAATATGAATTATCCATTCATATTCTAATTACTTTTTTTTGCAATTCCTTGCTACCATGGATGAAAAAAAATACAGGAGCGAAAAAATGCAATTTGCAGGTTGAAAGAGTTGCAACAGAAATAATGTTATAAAAATAAATACAAAAAATACCACAACAAAAATGGCGGTATATATATATATATATATATATATATAAATGTTTCATTAATAAAAATAATAATATATATATATGTGTGTGTGTGAATGTGTGTGTAACTTGTGTTATTTGTATACAACAACTTTTGATGTAGATAGAAGCTAATGTGGTAAGATGATAAAATGATAAATATCTTATACTCTTATACTTAATACTGGATGAATAGATATCTATCATTGATATATAATAACTTGATACAGGCATCTAAGTTATATCTTTGTACTGATATCATAGTTGATACCTTTTGATAAGGATTGACTGATGTTTATTTAGATATCAATATGTAGAAATAATGATCTATTCTCACTTATTAATCCTCACTAAGATGAATTCAGAGCTAAGAATAATAACAGGAAGAACTTGTGTGTTGTAGCATCACAAACATTTGCTTTTTATAGACAGATGATCTCTTCGAATATATATATAATTTTTCATTGTCATTGTTCAATATTGATAACATTTTGATGATGTATATCATTGATGATATATATCATCATTTCTATCAACATCATTTTATGATATTATTATTATTATTATTATCATCGTCATCAAGTTAATTAATCTCGAATACAATTGTTATTGCCCTTTTATGTTCTACTATTACTGCATTGCTAATGATTATTGTAGCCATTATCGTTGTTGTTGGAACATTCACTGTGTGAAATATCATTATCATCATCATCATCTCATCATCCTCCTCATCATCCTCCTCCTTTTCTTCGTCATCATCATCATCATCATTAACAGCAACAACAATAGCAACAACATTATTATTGTTGTTTCTGCTGTTGTCCATTTTCATTACTGCTGTCATCGTCGTCGTTATCATCATCGTCATCAGTACTGTCATTATATCATCGTCATCATCGCCATTACCACGTCACGTCATCATCGTCATCAGTACGACCACCTTCGTCATCATAATGAATGGCGGCTTGTCGCTTAGAATTAAAAGCTCATCTCTTGCTAACGTCCTGCCGATAATAGCCGCAAAGACTTTGTAAATATTTTATAACATGTTTTTTGTGGCGTCATTTATGGCATCATCATTAGTTATATTACCTGATTATATTAACGTTGTCGTTATTATTATTATTATTATTATTATTAACATCATCATTACAAACATCATCATTATTACCGTTTTCATCATCATTACAAATGCGTGCACCATCATCGTTTGTATCATTAACATTAGCGTCATCACCAGTTGCATTATTATCATCTTGGACATCGTTTAACGTTATCATCTTCATCGTCAACTTAATCATATTTGTGATTGTTATGGTCGTCTTCTTAATCTACCATCAATTTTGTCAGCTGGCATCAGACAAGCAACATAATACACAGCTTAAATAATATAATTGCTCCACTCATCAAATCACATCACTTGCTTGCTTGCTGAACATCCAATCAATTTTTTTATCTATCAACCATTCAACCATCTAACCAACTAACCAACCAACCAACCATCCAACCAATCATTAATGTTTCCTACCGACCACTCAGTCAACCAACCAACCAACCAACCAACCAACCAACCAACCAACCAACCAACCAACCAACCAATCAACCAACCAACCAAACAACCAACCAACCATGTTTCGTTCATGGTTGTCCATTAAATTAGGTTAGGCTGTACACATTCACACACGTAGACGATACACAAACTAATAAATAAATATGATGAGTGAATGATTGTACAGTGTGTACACACACGCATACACATGCATGCCGTTTATGTGCGTGCATACACTTGCTACTGTAGGCTACTGTAATGATGAGTGTGTGTAGGTGTACTCATATACAGTACACACACACAACACAGACAGGTATCCATGCATCCATAATTCTGTTTAATTTCGTTTCGTTATACTTTTATATGAATAAATAATTATATGGACAAATAATTGGACAAATAAATGTATTCATCTAATTATTTATTTATGTTCTATTTTCAGTCAAGTCTATTGGTCTATTATTGTTCATAAATGACATTTCAACAATAGCAATAATGAGAGAGAGAGAGAGAGAGAGAAAGAGAGAAAGAGAGAAAGAGAGAGAGAGAGAATGCTTATGACGTAGAAAAAGCACATAGCAACAGAAAAAACAGCCTAATTATAACCGCACAAAAATATAGCTGACCAAACGTTTCAGCAAGTAATGGCAATAGCTTTGGCGAATGCAACAAAGCGACAACAATGCTGAAAGTCAGTAGAACAATGCGCCATTGAAGGTAGTGGCCCTACAGCACAGCAACATTACAACCGTACCATGGACTATGAACTGTCAATTTACTCTACGCAAATGTTACGCTCGCACAAACTCACAAACGCAAATGTACAACAGCATACAAACACTGGCATGCGAACGAACTCGCAATGGTTTGATGGTTACACTGACACTTGAATTAAAACAGTGCCTTGACTGTAGACACACCACTTATTGAATTTTGGCACATACGCATAGATACAAACGCCATTCTTGGATGCGGACACTACTGAAATTCCAAGTACAAACACGCATACTTGGATACAAACGAGCTACACGACATTTGAGCTTACAAGTAGACGTTTATTTAGATGCAGTTTACAAACATGACTATTGTACAAGCACACACACAAAAACTCATCTCAACACCATAAACCCACAGTTTGCACGCACACACATGCACAGATACTAACCCATAGACAACACGCACACGCAGATACAATCCGAAAAACAGGACACACTTAGAAACAGCTTCAACTGATCAATATTCTTGCGCTGTCTACTTCAGCACATATTCGAGCATACAACCACAGACACAACACGCGTACGAAACCGGCATACACACACACATACACACACACATACGCATTTGCACCTGCATACCCAGATATACACATCACACACATACATGCACATACACACACGCTGATGTAGTCTTGTATCTAATAATAATAATGACAACAGTGATTATAATAGTGCGAGTTTTTTTAATCTAGGCTAGCGACGCAGGTTCGAACACACATCCTCAAATGTACACACATATCTGGCATCTACGTACATCAGACGCGTAATTGTATGTGCAATGTACGAGAACATTTACATACATTTTTTGCGCACATCTCCATGTACTACAAATTTTTTACGCATGTTTATACTTATGCGAATCAGCGCATATATTTTAAAAATACGCCAGTATAATTCTTTATACACCAGCATGTCTGAGCCATTGCTTATTCATAAACATCATACCTAGCGTATAAATAAAGGTCAAACGTCTTAAAACAAAATCGAAAATCAATGTTATGATGGAATAAAGTGTGATCTATTTAAACTGCTTAATGTTTAAGCTACGTATATTTGCGTGGGACGTTTAAATAAAGAGATAAATAAA